TCACCATGGTCTCTGAGGTTCAGGCTGAACAGGCCAAAGGCAAAGCCCCCATGGTCCTCCCTGCCCTGTGTTAGGAACCAGGCTTATACCCCCTTCCAGTCACACCGGTCACTGTTCCCCACGGTATCTAATTAAAGGAGCCCAGCCCACCTTTGCCATCTGGCTGGTAGCAGTGACAGCCCATTTAGAGGAAGCACCAGGGCTTCGGGTAGGTCCCCAAGCTCACCTGACAGGCCAAGGAAACTGAGGCCTTGGGGCCGCACCTGGAGGGCAGACAGGAGCTCCTCCAGGCCAACACGGCCAATCTCAGGGTTGGCAGACAGGTCCAGTGAAATGAGTGAGGGGCAAAGAGGAAGGCATCTAAGACAACATGGGAAGAAATAAAGGGGTCAGCCTCTAGGGAGGGAGGCCCCCAGTACTGCAGAAAGCTGCCCCAGACAAACCACAGCTCTGGGAGCCATAGGCCAGGCCCTATAGGCTCTGCCCCAGTATGCACGGGTGCAAGTACTTCTCTAGGGCCAGCTGGACACTGCCAAGGGCCAGGACCATAGTGACCAGGCCTGGGTATATGCCTCCCTGGCTTGGGTGCCCAACACCGCCAAGAGCCAGCTGAGGCTGGAGGGTCATGAGTGGCCCCGGTATGGGCTGCTACAACAAAGGGTAATGGGAAAGGCTGTCAGGAGCCTCAGGAGTACGGGAAGAAGAAACACAAGGAGGCAGGCTTGAAAGCTGGAAGGAGTGAGGGGAAGAAGCTGTTACTACCAGTTGTTACTACCAGGGCCTCGGGTAGGTCCCCAAGCTCACCTCCCTTCCCTGCCCAACCCAGCGCTCCAGGGTACTGGGACTTGAGATCAGACTCCCTCAGAATAGTGCAGGAGTGGGTGGCACAGCATTACCTGCTCAGTTCTCTCACCGCCTTGTCGCCCAGGTGGTTTGCAGACAGGCTCAAGTGAGTCAGAGCACAGCCTTCCTAGACACAGCAGAGGCCCAAAAGGAGTAGGGTTGAGTGGGGCACCTACCCTCTCTGCCTCCCAGTAGAGGACCCAAACCCAGGTCAGATACCTTCCTTCTTCCTCAGAAACAAGGGGCCAAAGACTGCCTGACCCCCAAGGCACCAGAGGGGAGCAGCATCCCTTCAATGTGAAAATCAAAAGGAAACGCCTCCCCTTCTAAGTCATACTCGACATGTGAAAATCACAGGGATCAGCCCCACATGGAAGAGTCAGGGGAGAGAGCCCTAGGAAGCCTGGCCAGACCTTGGGAATCTGCCTGGGGTCCCAGGCACCTTTCCTGCCGGCCAGGAATTCACAGCCCGAGGCAGGCAGCTCTCCCAAAAGCTTCACCCACAGCTGTTCTTTCTGAACCTGCAACCCTCTTCCCAGGCTGCTCCTACCCCTGCCAGGTCTCAGGTGCGGAACTGTAGCCCGGACAGCCCAGCCTTGCTTTGCCATGGCA